TAAACCACCATTGAGATGTTTGGCCAATACCGATTACATTGTCTTGTTATTTATTATAATGACTTCTAAGGCACATTTCATCTCTAGATCCAAATGCACCAAGTATGGAAAGCAAGAAATAAAAAAAACAGAGCAAATGGTCGGAACTTGGGGGTTATGGCCAGTTTAAAGAAGTGTGCTTTCAAGACAGATTTAAATTACTCAAATGACCGATTGCCTGATTAGCAAACGCAAAGCGTTTCATAGTGTGTGAGCTGCTCTGGCAAGAGCTCGATCATCCCAGGAACAGAGCCTTCAGCTGTGGTTGGAAGCTGGGGGACCCGGAAGAATCCCACGCAAAACAAGGTGGGGAGACATCTTCTTGGTTCTTTCGGCAAAGAACCAAGAAGATGAATCCCTGCAGTCACGAAAGCTTTAAATCGAAATTTAAGGTGGGGAGAGAACACACAAACTCCGCACAACGCGACGTGACGTGACATTACGATATCAAGTGACTCGGTGGACATTGATGCAGTCTGCAAACTCTCACAAGCCAAGGCCGAAATAGAAAATAATTAGAAACAATAAAGACCGTATACAAAGAAAGGAACGGCTGTACTGAGGTTTGCATGAAGTACAAAAAACATAAAAATCCAACGCTTCTGGTGTACCCCGTGGGGGTTTCACGTTCGTAGGCCCCAACGTGAACATACAAACAAAAATTGTATCCATAAGAATGGGAAAAAAAAACATTTTATGAAACCGTTCAAGGCATTGATTAAAATGTAAAGGAAAATATACACCGCGATTACAGTAAGAGGGCGGAACAAGAGCTTCTCTTTATGTCACAACAAATATACGAGTAGAACCCTGCGCTCCCAGTGCTCAAACATTGCAAAAGAGCATCGCTTTGACGAACATTCAGTGTCCGGGCTCTCTGCCTTGTTCTCTGGCCACCCGAGCCAAGCGCGCGCGCGGAGACGGACGCCGCAGTGAAAAAAAAACAGGAGACGAATTCCAATCTCAGCGGGAAATCCATCGTGACATTCCTCGCCGTGGCACGGTGGGCTGCTAGACTCGTGGAATGGTCCGACTGGAGCGGCGGATAGTCATAACAGCAATAGACAACGCGCGGATGAAAGTGCTCTGCATAGTTCATCTTAGAAATGCTTGTACAATTGAGTCACCTGTAGATCTCAACGTTACGTTCACTGCCGACGCGGGACAGTGATGAAGGCAAGCTTTGTCCCAACGCTCTTAGGAACACGGGGTGCATGAAATTTAGTGTTGTAATAATTATGCAATTTTTTTTACAGGCTCAGCTCTTAGAAAGGGACAATGATGGAAACGCTCAGACATATGGCAAAAATGAACCAGTGGATAATTATGCTTTTGACTTTGTTGCTATTCATAAACCATTTCACGAACAAGCCACGCACAGAGTTAAAAATAACCACGTCATAGAGCGAGCACATCCAATTCCTGACATCGGCTGTTTCCCCTTTGCAGTACATCTCAATTTAAAGTGTGAGGTCATATAGTTAATGCGCTGAGAAGGTGGTTACTCATTGCAGACCAATGGAATATAAATGGTAATTTTCGCCACATTTCTATGTTATATGTTCCACAACAAATCCATTCGTAATAGAGCGAGCCAAAAAAACATGGAATTTTCTAAAACAATTCTGTTAAACACAAAGCTATCCGACGTGAACCTGGCATTGTGGCAGAGAGTCTGTCTCCAGATCAAATGGTGGAATTTATCCAATAAGTGCCTCTTTGTGGCGCATCGACATTACCTGTTCTGCAGTCCTTGCAAACGGAATGTGCAAATCCTACCATTGGCATGGGATGGCTATTGCATATTAACAATGCGCTCCACTTACCTTGCGTGACACAAACACTTTTTAGCCCTCAACATCACAATAGAAGTGTACTTATATATGAAGAGTGCGACGAGCATCTTATCACACGCATATAAGCTGTTCACAATGATCATAGAGGATAGAACAATGGTCAAGTTTACAGGCCAACTACCCACAAAAACAAACTGGATCTAAACATTATTTTTTACCATTGACCACAGACATTATATCAATCATATTTTCTGACAAGATATTTATCTATTACATACCATTCATTATGCCGACACATTTATATATTTACGCGATCTAACTCAAAAAACCTCTATTATGGATGATGTTGGTCGCGAAAGCCTACGTGTTAAACTCTGCACAATTACATTCAGAAATCCATTGTTGTCCTGCAACCTCCTATCCACCTCGCAGCCCAAATCTACAGAAGCTGGTATTCCCAGGGAGTCTCCCATCCCAGTACTATTCACTCACCCCAGCTTATAGAAAATGGGCCAATGGTAGAAAGTTGTACCAACTGAAGCATCACAACTATAACCGAGAAATACAAGCTTCATATGGTCAACAACCGTGAATTACGTGACAAGCAAATGATTTGTAAAGTAATTACGCACTCAACTTTAAATGCCCACTGCGAGAAGCTCGTTCTGCTATAGTCTTAGGTTTTTCGGTAAAGTCACGTAGATAAAAACAAATAAAATTTAATTTTATTTTATTAATTTTAATTTTTTTTATCTACGTGATAATACCGAAAAAAACCTAAGAATATGAATCCTTGCAGTCACGAAAGCTTCAAATCTAGAATTTGTTCTGCTATAATTCAGCCTCCTTCGGGCGATGGGTGTCAACACGCGCAATGTCTGGTCTGGACTCGCAGACTCTCGGCTGCCAGCATCCGACAAGATCGGACATTCAGCCCGATCTGGTCACGTTGGCCAAAGCCAGGGGCTCCCGTCCATGACCTCACGCCCACCGCTGGTGCCGCGGCGGATGAGCCTCTTCAAGGCTTGGGGCTTTCCCCATCATCCCCGCGAGTGCCCAGGGACAGCGGCCCCATCTCATACATCAGGTGGAGACATTGCCTACCTTCGCCTACTCCTCCTCGCGGCGACATCCATCAGCCGGAGGAGACCACAGGCTTCTCAGGTCTTTCCCTTCTTCCCTCGAGTGTTGCTCAATGAGCGAGACCCCCCCCCCCCCCCCCCACACTTTCTATTTTGAGACATTTTCCATCAACACAAGGGCACCCCGTGGTCCGAAAGAAAAATACAAGCCGATTCTTCATGAAGAAATGTCATGGCTCCGTGTGGAAAACAGTTTTATTCATCAGAACCATTTTTTTTTCATTTACAAATTGGATGTTTCAGATGGCCGGCTACGGTGCGATCCATCTACTTAAATCATAAAGCTACAAAATTGTGTGAACACAAGAGTCGTGATTTTATGACTTCATTTTTAATGCTTCCCAACACGGGCCGGATTTAGGTTCTTGTAGGTCCTAGGCACTTCTGTTTCGTAGGCCTTCAGTGGTAACTTTCAGCAGTTGTTACTGCTGCTGCCCCATGCCACTACCGCTGCTCTCACCTGCTTGTTTCATGCAAACTTCGTGCAGCCGCTGGACAGATGTCGTTATTGCTGATATGTTCAATATTTAGTATGCTGCCCTAATTCGATGCGTGCCGACGATAAGCAGATTTAATTTGAAACTATTGGGAAAAAATACCAAGGTAAGCCAAAAAATATTATAAGCGAAAATGTATTCGCTAAAGCTGATGAAAAAAGTCTCCGATCAACGATAGGCTACAACGCTTGTGTTCCCTTGCATAGATTATCTATTGAGAATGAGACTGCGGAAAACACCATTCGAAATGTTATTGCTAATTTTGCAATGAAAAAAATAATCGAAATGTTAATCTTCCGTGTTAATTTATCTCACCTTGTGAAAAAAAACATTGACATGACTGCCTATCCTTGCTATATAAATACAAATATTTATTCAAGAAGATGTATTGGTTATATTTTTATCATACAAAACAGACACTGTAGGCCCTTTAATTTTCGTCAAGGCACAGTGCCCACTGTATAATACGGCTCTGCATCCCAACTCAAGTTGGTGGGTTGCTGTTTAGGGACCTGCCCTGTAAAAGACCGGCCAAGTTGCGCAAAGCTTGGTGTAAAAAATTATTGTGCCGAATAGATAAAAAAAAACCCTTCTCAGCCAAGATGATGACGTTACATAACGTGCATCTTGCTCCGCGTGGCATCGGCTCGTTGTGCGGTTCGAACGGTAACATGATCGTCACTAATGTAATACTGCAGTGGAACAAACGCACGTTGGGAAGCGACACAGAACCCACACACATGCATATTTTCTTATTTTTTCGAAGCAAAATAGGGAATTTAATTTTACGATTTTAATGTTTGTTTTATCTATTACAACTTTTACAGTGCTGTTTGTTGCTTGACACAGCTACCCCCGCCCTCACATCTCCATAGCATGAAACACACCTCCTCAGCAAGGTCTTGCTTGGTCATAAGTTACAAAGGTTTTCATTTTGCTTCCTGCAAGAGCAGTCGTCAAGCATGGGAAGGGAACAACAGCGCTTGGCGAGGGCTGTCATAGGAACCAGACCGCTGAGCGAGGCACACATTAAATCGGCGATCATAACCAGCGCTGCTTAACGAAGATGCCTTCTTTCCACCGCGCCCTGCCAAGGAGACCATCTCTCGCTGGAGCGGTCCCATTATTCTGCCAATTACTCGTGACATTGGACTTGGAGTGTGGGCGGTAGAGGCGGATTCTTCATTAGTCCCGTGCGTCACGGGAAGCTGCGCTCAGACTGTGCAGCCCTTGACCAGGTCTGGGGAACCGACAAACATCTCAAAAGTTTTGTTAAGCAACCTGCTGTGACACTGCACCGGCACCGCAAGCACATCTGCCGGCCAGCCATCTTCTCACCTTTATTTATTTCAAAGTGGGCAGAGGCAATGTCAAGTGTCACGGCTTGTTCAACGATTTCACGGGGATCCACCGGATATCGAACGCTTCTGGTTTTGGGGCTTTTAGGGTGGCGTGCCCCATGAAGGTTTCAGGTTCGTAGACCCCAACGTAAACACGGAACAAAAAAAGTTGTATCCACAAGAATGGAAAATATTTGACATTTTATTAAACCGTTCAAGGCATTGATTAAACTCAATTAAAGTAAAATGAAGGAACAAGAGCTTCACATTGACTAAACATTTTTTATGAGTTCATATTTTAACAGAAAAGCTTTGTAAAATAAGTTAACCTCCACAAGAATTTCCACCTGAAAGAAAACAAACCGAGACCAAGTGACACCTACACCACAGCACACACACCCAATAACTTGTATTGAACATATATATATTTTAGAAAATGTATTTTCATTCCAAGTAATATTGTAAGCGTGAGCTCTATTGAAATGTTTTTGCACGTGAAGCCAAGTGTGGAAATGACATTGACTAACGTGTGATATGCAGTGGCTTGCGGCTGAGCTTTTCCATTATTGCTGCTCACGCTTTTGTGGTAAAGACACAAGCTCCGTAACAATGTAATTAATGCGTACGTCGAAATGCTGCTCTTCAGTTTCACATTACAAGTCAAATTAAATCCTTCCGCTTCCACACAAGGCTTGGGTTGAGGGCCCACACAGGAAAAAAAAAAACTTGTCCATGTACACTATAGCCTTTAGTTAGAAGGCTTGCCCACACCATGTTGGTCATTGGGGGAGTTGTTTGACCACGTGGCCTCAAGGTGCACATGGCCTGGCACAAGCGTCGTGGTGACGTCACCGCCACTTAGTGGCAAATGGCGGTTGTTGTTTGTTGTTTGACCATACCTCAACACTGGTCAGTGTGGACAACATAGAGAATGGGAGCACAGAAGTATACAGAATGATGGATTTTACTGCACTGCCATTTGTTGATTACCACGTTGCCCAGCCAAATGTTTTAACAACCGGATGTGAATTTACATTATCCAGTTCAAACCTGCTTAGCTTATGACATCTGCTGAGATGGAGTGCATTCAGGGGATTTGGTCATAACATTAAATCACTAACTTCATAACCTCAAGCAGCAGTTTGTTAATCAGAATGCTATACTCTGTAGCGTGTAAATTACTATATTTAATTATTTTTGTTAAAATAATACCCATGCAATCATCAATTTAGTGGCGCATTGGTACAATTTAGCGGTGTGCAAAATGTGTTAAGAGTTACTCTTTGAGAAATTACCAAGATTGTAGCGTTGGTATGATTTACACAACTGACAGTCTTCTTGGAAAGGATAGTTAAATAAACGCGCCACTTGTACTCCAGCATCTGCTTCCATTTCTAATAAATGCTTCAGGTATCTTGGTGCAGGTTAACCGCAAATTGGCACTGCAGCAACAACAGGTCACCCATGCAGTTGCTCAAAGTCGCCCAAGGAAAGAAATGTTACCATCATAGAGAGTGAATTGAATGTATTCATCAATTCATGTATTCATTAATTAAACTGTACGAACAACAAATCTGGAACTGATACATGGGGAAGTAACTTAAAGTGAAATGATTAAACTAATATTCCACATAACCCACATTTAAAAACAGGTTAACAAGTCAATGTCCCAACTATTACACTCACTTCAATCCCATCACCCACCTCTCTCACAAGTGAAAAAAACGATATTGTATTTTTAAAAAATCCTGACATTCAACAGTTTTTTGTACACATTTTCCCACATTCATTTTTCGATGCAATTAATCAAATAATACACTGACACCCATGCCAGTGAGCACCTATTAAGGCTGGCAAGGCTGCTGTTTATGCACCGAAACAGTTGATGATTTCCATCTCATCCTCACTACGGACACCACGTGGAGGCCACATTTCCTCAAAATCAGGGTCTTGTCTGCAAAATAATGAGGACTGGAGATAATGATCTTGGCGAAATACAACCATGGAAGCATGTGGCACCGAGTTAATGCCAACGGCTGCCACGGCACCGCAAGGTGCGTTCAGGCACAGCGACCACAAACACGGAGCTGCTTCCCGTGACACCTTCCACCACGGCCGTGACCTCGTCTAAGACGCACACGCCCTACGACGTGGGTAGCCCCGTCTCGCCGCTTGCCCCTGCTCGCTCCGGGCCGCAAGATGGTGCGGGCGGTCCAGCAGCAGTAGCTGCTGCGCTGCTGCTGCGCTACTCTGCGGCTACGAGGCTGCCCGGCGCAGCGGCCGATGCAGACGCTCCCCACGCGGACGCGCCACCCCATGCACCACGACGTGCGCCTCAAGAGCCGGCCCTTCCATGACATCCTCGACGTGCTCATCAAGCCCACGAGCCTCGCACAAACCATCTCGTGGCCGTGCTTGTGAGAGGAGCCTCATGATTAAAGCCTGCTGTATATTTCATCTGCTGCCTGTGCTCCTGAGTGAAGCCTGCTGTACAATCGACGTGCTGGTTATGCCCGTGCTACTGATCTGCTTCTCTTTCCCGCCCAGTGCTGCACTGCACACAGCTGCTTCTGGGAGTCAGCCAGCGGGCTCATTCAGACTGGAGGTGTTGGCCCGCTATTAAATTGGTGGTCTTCTCCCCAGCACTGATTGGACTCTGTGATCTACTGGACATTTATTCCCAGCGTTTGAGCAGGAGAACAAGACGTCTGTGAGAAGAACCTGGATTGGAGAACTTAAGATGTGCAGTACGACAGTACATCTTTTTATTTCTCTATTTTACATTATACCTCAATCTCGGTTGCATTCATGGCGTGATTGGGTGTTTACTGTGGTGGCCCCTACGGTTGTGGAACTCCCTACTGGTGGAGATCAGGTTCCCATACAGTGTTGATATCTTTAAGTCCCAACTAAAAACAGATCTTTAAAAAAATCTTAGTGGTGGAACAAGTCGGTTGGTCAGACCATCACACCATGAGGTTCCGTTTTTGGGCTCTCCCAAAAAGGGCCTGTACCGCCCCATGAGGGGTTTGATCCCTGGTGGCCTAATGGCAGTGCTGGACCTATCGGGCTTAGCAAATGAAGGTTTGGATCCCGGGAAACTCGTGCTTGCCCTTTAACAGAACAGTAACAGAGGCCCTCGATTCCATCAAGGATCCTTTCCAGTTACGATTGAGGAAGAGGCATGGCACCGAAATGGCCCTTATTCGGGTGCTTAATGACCTCCAAATATCGAGAGATCAGAAGACTCATTCCATCGTGGTCCTCCTGGATCTCTCCGCAGCATTTGACACGGTCACGTCAAATGCCGGTGTGCTATTTAAGCGCATGCAGCTCATCCTGCAGATTGGCTGGTAACGTCAACAGATGATGTTGATCTTTGCTCGAAGATAAGACACAGTGAGAAGCTTCCGCAATGTATTCCTACGATCCTTTCCCCCTATCCCGTGGGATGCCACAGAGCCCCACGCCGACACCCACATTGATTGTGGTGTATATGCTTTCATTGGGGCAAATTATTAAGACATTACGGGCTCAGTATTCACTGTTATGCAGTTGATGCACAGCCGTATGTGTCCTTTGCACCCAAGCAGGGAGTTGTTCTTACGGTTTGTAGCAATTGCCCATCTGAGATCCAAGACTGGATGAGTTATAGTTGGCTGAGATTGAGTTGGTGGTGGACCCTGATCGTCAGAGTATGGGTGTGTTGGCAGGACAGGCCTCAGGGGTGTCCAGCTGACTACTCGAGGCTGAGTATGGAATCCGGGTGGTATTTTTGACGGCGGCTTGACCTTGAAATCACAGGCGCGAGCTGCTGTCTAGACCTCTTTCGTCTACCTGAGGATCATCCCTCACTGTTGATCGACCCACCGAGTTTCACACCTTTGTGATCACTCGCATTGACTACTGCAACGCCCTTTACCCGAGGGCTAATGGGGATTAATGTCCATCATCTGCAGCTGGTGTAGAATGTTGTTGCCAAGTTAATGATTGGTATGTGTAGGACCGATCATACAAGGCCTGTGCTCCGCACACTGCACTGGCTGCCAGTCCGATGGAGCATCACCTTCTAAGGTGAGTTTTATGACCTATAAGGCCCTACACGGCCAGGGACCCTATCTGAAAGATAATTATCTTGAAGAATGATTATAATCTTTCTCTCTACTGCCCCTACCGACTGATTCGATCCACTGAGGAGGGATCGCGAAACATCCGCAGGGCGCGACTACAAACATTTAGGGCGTTTTCTTTGGGTCTTTCGGTAAAGCCACGTGACTTTACCGAAACCCAACGAATATTAATTCCTGCAGTCACGAAAGCTTTAAGTCAAGATCTAGGGCAATGTTCCTCTGCTTACACGGCTCCCTTCCTCGTCAGAAAATGGGACTGCCTGACCATTCAAAGTTTTAAAAAATAACTTAAACGTTAACCTGTTCAGCCTGGCGTTCACAGATGAAAAGTAAATACATTTGACAGAGTGTATGGTTGCAGATGAACCTAATTACTATTTTAAATACATGGTTTAAGATGTTTAATGGATGAATATATACGTATAGGGGCCTTAAGTTTTAAGATAGGCATCGTTAAAGAAATAAAAGTATGAAGATTGAAAGTTGGATTGATGCCGTTCGGTCAAGTTTTCCAGTTGCACATCGATTGTAAGGCTCCTATTGTTGGGAATTATTTATTTTCATGATCCTGTGATGCATCACGGCTTTGCCCTAACCGCTACCTCCTCCTCCTCCTCCTCTCAGGGGAAAGAGAGGTGCTGACGGGGGGGGTGGACAACTCCTCCCTCACGTTGCATCGTGGGTCCCGGCCGGCGGCGCGGGGTCAACCTCCGCCGCGACGGAGCCACGCGCCACCATCTCGGTCGCCGGCGCCATCGCGGGGCTCACGCTCGCACCGTCAGCGGAAGCGGGAGGCGCAAGTGGAGGCGGCGGGGGCTGCATGAGCGTGGACAGCTGCTGTTGCGCGCACGACAGGAAGAGCTCCAGGCTGGCGAGATTGCGCTGTCGGCCCGCGTGTTCTGCCTGCACCACGTACAACACAACGCGGCGGTGGCACGAACATAATCGCGATTAGAAATCACTTGGGATTTTATAGCAGTCAAATACTCTACACGCATGTTTCTAAATGTGGAGGGAGAGAGCAGAGGATCCGGAGAAGAATCCACGTGGACCACAGGGAGAACATACAAACTGTATTCAAGTGTCAGTCGGGATCGAACCCACAACCTCCTGTATACCAGGCGAGGTAGTTAACAACTCGCCACCGCAGCACCACACAGGGAATTCACAAATGCCTGTGTGGTGTCATGTGTGTCATGTGTACATGACACCAATCACTCAAAGGGGCACATCATTCCACTGTTGATTTTAAACAACTCTCAAATACCACCGACTAAGTGTGAAAAAACACATAAGTAGTGTTATTGTTTATAGATTTTGTCTCACATTGCATATGAAAATAAATATACAACACGCGTGAAAGCGGGCAGGTGTGGATTGAAAACAGGTGAACGAAAATCGGATGTTTGTGAACTATAGGCAAGGAACAAAGACTTAACACGTTCATGAATCAAGAAGTTCTAACAGCAGTAGATATTTACGTGCTATTTTGAGCAATGCTGGAAACATTGCCGATGAAGAAGGTCCATTACACAAAACGTTGCGTATTTTTTCCCCCTTTCAGCCCGTATTATTAAATACAATTTTTCGTTTTACTATTTGTGAGTATGCACCACTGCCTATGGACAAGGAATGCACGTGGATGTCACGGGAAGCGTTCAATTTGGAGGAACTACACGCAGCATTGGCGCGCTCGCGCCAACTCATCTGCGTCACTTTGCGGTGGACAGCAGCGGAGGGCAGCGGCGTCAGTGTTTGGCACCGGCTGCACGGCGAGACCCTTCCTGACCAAAGTCCACCGTAGCCTCCATAAATCTCGCTCCCAGGCATGGCCCGTGGCTCCAGCGAGTGGCACGGGCAGCTGCTGCAGGCTTGGGGCATTAGCTAATGCTGCTAACGAGAGAGAATTAATTAGTGCCGCCTGTCAGGAGGCCGTAAATCAGGGCCGCTCTCTGGCCAGCCGGCCGGGGGGCGAGGGCGATGCGTGAGCGGAGTCGGATGCCTCTGCGGACGCCACACATAGCGGGCCGCCGTTTAGAAGTGCAACCTTGGGACCTTCGGCGTGACCTAGCGCACATCAAACGGCAGGTCCACCAAGTGAGGCGTTCACTCGTACAAGAGGACACCGTGCGTGCGGCAATCGCTTGGGCAGTGTGCCAGCGATGCCACGCTGTGACTTTCAAAGCGGTAGCCCCCTTTCAACCGCTATTATTAAAGCGATGCACGTTGCATCAGATTGAGTGAAGAGACTGCATTGGGGGTTTTTTTGTTTCAAGTGGAAGTTTATCAAAATGGCATTTTTGAACATATTGAGCTTTTTTTTATACTGCCAACATTTTTCATATGCCTTTTGTTTTGGCTAGAGCTTAAATATATATTTGACATACAAAAAAAGAGACATTCTAAGTCACTTATTTAAACACGCATAGATATAAAAACATACATCTAAGCAAATACAACCCTAAAATTGCATTGAATGTCCCAGGAACATATCTTTACTAACTGTGAACAATATTACCTTTTTTAATACCAAAAAAAACTGCACACCAGCAAAGGACATTGACATGATCATTCAAGTGGCCTGTAAAATAATCTGTTCATCTCTCCACATGAAAATATGTTTAAGTCATCCATAAGAATTTTTTTGGGTTAGATCACGTAAATATATAAATGTGTCATTAAACCTGCCACCACCCGACACAGCCAACTAGTAAGGGTTTAAGTCAGTCTGCTTTTGAGAACTTTCCAGAGTACTATGAATAAACAAGCAAACTCAGGAGCAGTTTTTACCTTTCGAGTCTCATCAACAGTCAGCCTTGTCAAAAAAATCAAATACAGCTGGGTTGCCAGATGTTATTGGCAAGAGGCACTCCATCTACATGACATTCCTCAATGCATAAGGCAAAAATGTATACAAATCTCTTAATGCGTTGTTTTGAAGCAATAAGAGAAACAAATAAATTCCTACATTCATGTATCTCAGTCAAGCACTTGATGAAAAATCCATTTAGTTTATAAATCAAAGCAAACTGAGATTGCCCACACTCAGGGCACACGATCGCCTGGTCTACTGAATACGGGACGGCGGCACGAACATCACAGCCACAACAACCGGAATCAACGTTCCTCCCGATGCCACGTTGCGAGTTAAGTTTGGCGACACAGCGCGTGATATCACGCGGCGAGCCCCTTCTCCTTGTGAAGTAGTGATGGGATTTACATCGCAAGGAACTGGGTTGCCTAAAATACATGGAGGATGCACACATCCTCTACGACACCCTGCAACCACCATCCGATTTAAAAGGACCCCCCTCTCCCTACCCACCCTCCCTCCCTCCGAGAAAAGTCTCGACACACTTGCTTTCACTTCGGAGAGATTTACACGGCCTGGCAGCCCCCAGCGCACAGATGGGGCCATAATCCTTCCACGGCAGCCATCGAGATCAAAACAGCCCGTATCGCTTTAGCGCCTATGCTAACCCAACACTAATAGTGTAACCAAAGACGATGACACACTTCCACGTCGGCTGTAAATTCACCTATTCGGCGGCACAAGCTGCGCAAAGAGATGTCGCGGGCTTAACTCTCGTTTGTACACCGCCTTGTGAAGTGGGTATTTACTTGCTTTTATATCTTCAATTTTTGTGCAAAAAAAAATATGTAAAAAATGTTAGTCTCTTTATTTTTACACTGTCTAACGAACTGTATACGGGAAGGACATCGTAAAATGTTTGGCATGGTGAAGGATACCAACCTAACGCCTTACCAACATAGAGCGAGCAAGTCATCATCGTCAGCCAACGTTTATCTACTGCTGGTTGAAAGCCTCCCCATGTTATCGTCATCCTTCAGTCTTGTAATCCTACAATCCATCTCGCTCCTGCACGTAAACGTATCTCTCACGCGAACTCCGTTCATCCTCACAGTGGCTTTTGACTAGCCATCGAAGAGACGGTCACTGTATCACACGATTTCAGATGAGCAGCTTCTGCAGCCATCTGGAATGCTCTTACTTCCGATGTTAGGAAGTCACTGGAGCTATGCAATTTTAAATATAGATTGAAAACTCATTTGTTTATAACTGCATTTTGTGTTCAGTTTGTCGTCCTTTCCCCGCTCGTCTGATTAGCACGGCTGGCTACGTACGGCCCTAAAGAAGTTCAACATACACACACCACTCCCATCTCCACAGCTGTTGTTCTCTTGGGCCAGTTATCTAATTTGGCCGCTATTCCATCACCAGTGTTGTCCATCGAAATTCATCCCATATCGACCACCAGCCATCATCCCTTCGAGTGGTATGTCCTACCCAAGCCTACTTACTTTGCTCAAGAGTCAACTTGATTCATTTACCTTGCATATGTTTTCCCCTATTTCTCTCTAAGGGCTACAACCATTTGTTTTACCAATCAACTTCCTGTATTCCTCCCATTGTTGTGATATGTTGAATCACTTGTGTTGTATTCTCTAATTTCTATTCTCAGAATTGTATGTTCTTATTTAGTATCTTTTTATGTCCCCCCCCCCCCCCCCCTTCTTCCTCAAGTGTTGTATAACGTCCGGTAGCTTATTCTCTACTCTGCTTCACTTTGCCCCCACTTCCAGACCACTGTCGACTGTGATGCTGGGCATTTCTTTTATGGCGGGGACATCTAATTTGTTATTTTGCTTCTATGTGGGTATGAATTTGTGTAAATTCTCCGAACTGTTGGCAGTGGTCCGTACACACAATTATTTCATGTGAACCGACTTGTTTTTTCCTCTAACTTTGTCCCCCCCTTGACTATGTTGCATTATGACTTGGATCAATGACGCCAGGCGATTCATGTGAACCGAGTTTGCCGTGTACAGACGCATCACTGATATTCCAGAAAATAATTTGGTGATGCTGCGTTGTGAGCGGTGCACAAGCACAATGAACAAAACAACTGAACACATTCTTCAATGACACTGCAGCCATTAAAAATAAAAAATATATATACGGTAATAGGTGACGATGTGGGCAAACGGCCATTCTTCAATGTATGTGCCATGAAGGACCATCGCCCAAAACGTCGTCAAATTATACATTTTTCCGTTTAATGCCATCACGTTATCTATTAACGTGGTCAGCTTTCTGACAATCTTTTTCCCATTTCTAGATTTTGTATTGGGAACACATTTGATGCGCCTGCTTAAAACTGTTAGTCATTCTCTCTTTCCTCGCTCCAATATCGTGTTTTCCTAATTATCCTCTCATCTCTGCTCCTCTTACTTTTGCATGAAAGTCACCCATTATGATGCCCTCAGCTTAGAAGTTGGTTCATTTCTTCATACACTTTGCATACTTCTGCATCGCCATGGCTTGTTGTTGGGGAATATATTTTGCATTCCCGTTAACTGGTAGTAGTCTTAGAACCTTAATGTTAGCTGGGAAACTCTGCCCGAAGCATTCTTGAATCCTAAAACTCTATGTGCATAAGCACCGAAGGACATCGTGAAATGTTTGGCATGGGGAAGGCTGCTGACCTAACGTTACCGATTTAGCACCAGCGGCTAAGGCTCTAAAGATTGGCCCTAAATGCACACCCGTCACTTTTCCTCCCTTATTGTAGAGGGCGCATGCACAAAGAGCGGCACCTCATGTAGAAAGAGCAATTTAGCAAAATGTAATCATCCCATGAAACATTTCCCATTACCCAAATTCAAAAGACCTGTGGAAATCTATTAATTAATGTCAAATTCTGAACTCAAACACACTTAACATGGGATTTAAAGCACGGTGAAATGCATGTTCTTTTAAATATCCATACACTGAACACGTGTTATTGAGTGTAAACTAGCTACACTTTACAGTGTAATCACCACAATAAAACTAAAGATATATTTTTTTAATACGATACAATCTTGTTCTTTATATTGCA